GAGCACCAAGGGGAACTCTGCCTTCAGCTAAGGCTACACAACCAGCCTGATGGTGAACTGTAGCAACTTGTAGGCAAGGGGTACAGCTCAGGGCAGCTACCCCTCCCTCTTCTGGGGCCAGCCTGGAGGAAGTTCCTTCCAGAGTCCAGGTTATATTGCTTCTGGCCTGCAAATTCCTGAGAATTCTTTGAAACCTAGGAGGGTCCTGGGTATTATGCCCTTTTGAGTGAGAATTCAGAGGCCAGTGGAATTAGCGCAATCAGGCATTTCCTGATCATCTACTATGCTCCAGGATGCTGACTTGGAGAGATGAACAAGGCAAAATGCCCATTCTGACGGCACTCAGAATTTTGTAGGGAACTGGAAGGATAAATGAATCTGGGAGGAACTGCTAAACCAGAGGAGAGGGTAAGCTTGTTAGAACCTGAGAAGAATGCCGTCTGAAAAGGTAGAGAAGTCAGAAGCAGCAGTGAGGCCCTCAACCGTGTGTATCACAATGCCTCCTGTCACTTCCTTTCTGAGCTTCCAGTACAAGCTTCTCCGTGGGTGTTTTCTGCCCGAGCACCTGAACGTTGGAGACCTAGCACTTTGGACAAAGTCCCTGGCCCTGACACTTAATGGTTTTGGGAACTTGGGCAAAGTACTCAAAGCTTCCTAGTCTGTAAAGTGAGAATGATAAAACATCTGCCTTCCTTGCAGGATTGTTGTGGTGATGTATAAGACGTAAAATATGAAGCACAGTCAGCAGTCACTGAGCTTAAGGAATGTTAAGTTATAATCATTATTTCTGAACTTTGGTGCACAATACGACCCTGTTGACACCTCCTTTGCCTCCTTGGGACATATTCTCTTCTGGTGGTCCTCATCCCTTTCCAGCTATCCTCCATCTCTTGGTATTCTCCTAGTCTACTAACTCCCATCAATGTTCCTGCTTGCCCAGGGTGCCTGTCTCAGTCTTCTTCTTTTCTCCCTAACCCCTGCGAAGATCTCATCAAATTCCCTACCTTTCGTTTTCCTTATCGATTTGCTGAGGGCTTACTGACAAGTATCTCCAGCTGAGACCCTTTACTGATTAGAGTAATAACAACTGGTGGATGTGTTCTCCTAGATAGAGAACAAGAATCTCAATTTTCAATGTCGGGAGGGACTTTATGCATCTTTTTGCTTTCAAAAGCAATTTCTGTCTGGGTGTGGTGGTCCATGCCTGTAATTCCAGCACTTTGGGAGGCCAAGGCGGGTATCTCACCTGAGGTCAGGAGTTCGAGACCAGCCCGGCCAACACGGTGAAACCCCGTCTCTACTAAAAGTACAAAAAATTAGCTGGGCGTGGTGGCAGGCGCCTATAATCCCAGCTACTTGGGAGGCTGAGGCAGGAGAATCGCCTGAACCCGAGAGGTGGAGGTTGCAGTGAGCAGAGCGCTTTCCACTGCACTCCAGCCTGGGCAACCGAGAGAGACTCTGTCTCAAAAAACCAAAAACAAAAAGAAAAGCAATTTCTTCTCTCTGCATTCTCCATGTTACTAAAATCTAACATCAACCCCATAGCTCCTCAGGCCAGAAGCTCCTTTGTTGCATGCATTCTCCAAATGCCTAAATCACCAATTTTTTTTTTTTTTTTTTTTTTGAGATGAAGTCTCACTCTGTCGCCCAGGCTAGAGTGCAGTGGCACGATCTTGGCTCACTGTAACCTCCACCACCCTGGTTCTAGCAATTCTCCTGCCTCAGCCTCCCGAGTAGCTGGGACTACAGGTGTGCACCACCACGCCTGGCTGATTTTTTTTTTTTTGAGACGGAGTCTTGCTTTGTCACCTAGGCTGGAGTACAGTGGTGCGATCTGGGCTCGCTAGAGGCTCTGCCTCCCGGGCTCACGCCATTCTCCTGCCTCAGCCTCCTGAGTAGCTGGGACTACAGGCACCTGCCACCACGCCCGGCTAATTTTTTATATCTGTAGTAGAGACGGGATTTTACCGTGTTAGCCAGGCGGTTCTAGCAATTCTCCTGCCTCAGCCTCCCGAGTAGCTGGGACTACAGGTGTGCACCACCACGCCTGGCTGATTTTTTTTTTTTTTTTGAGATTTCGAGTCTTGCTTTGTCGCCTAGGCTGGAGTGCAGTGGTGCGATCTGGGCTCGCTGCAGGCTCTGCCTCCCGGGTTCACGCCATTCTCCTGCCTCAGCCTCCTGAGTAGCTGGGACTACAGGCACTCCGCCACCACGCCTCGGCTAATTTTTTTATATCTGTAGTAGAGACGGGATTTTACCGTGTTAGCTGGTGATGGTCTCCATCTCCTGACCTCATGATCCCCCGCCTCAGCCTCCCAAAGTGCTGGGATTACAGGCATGAGCCACCGTGCCTGGCCAACTTTTGTATTTTCAGTAGAGAGGAGGTTTCACCGTGTTGGCCAGGCTGGTCTTGAACTCCTGACCTCATGTGATCGGCCCACCTTGGCCTCACAAAGTGCTGAGATTACAGGCATGAGCCATCACGCCCCGCCCTAAAATACCAAATCTTATTAAATTTACATTCTGTAATTCCGTCACATCCATCACTTCATCTCTGTCGACTCCTAGCATTGACTTAGCTGAGGACATCATCAACTCTGATCAAAGGACCCTAAGTCTAAGTAACAATACCAGTTTCATGGCAGGGTTTCCCTGGAACCAGGCTGGATGTAATGAGAATTTTCAAGAGAATGTGAATTGCTCCTTACTTGATTTTCTTACTTTTTCTTTCTTTCTCTTCCTTCCTTCCTTCCTTCCTTCCTTCCTTCCTTCCTTCCTTCCTTCCTTCCTTCCTATTATTGCCTTGTAGCCTCTTTCTTTCTTTCTCTCTTTTTCTCTTTCTCTTTCCTTTCTTTCTTCTTTTATTTTGGGCGGAGTGTAGCACACATCATGATTTGGAGTGCAGTGCTGTGATCTCAGCTCACTGCAGCCTCCACCTCCCTTCCTTCCTTCCTTCCTTCCTTCCTTCCTTCCTTCCTTCCTCTTTCTTTCTTTCTCTCTTTTTTTCTCTTTCTCTTTCTTTCCTTTCTTTCTTCTTTTTGTTTTGAGACGGAGTATCGCTTTTGTCACCCAGTTTGGAGTGCAGTGCTGTGATCTCAGCTCACTGCAACCTCCGCATCCTGGGTCCAAGCGATTCTCGTGCCTTATCCTCCTGAGTAGGTGGGATTACAGGCGCCCGCCAACAAGTCTGGCTAACTTTTTTTTTTTTTTTTTTTTTTTTTTGTATTTTTAGTAGAGATGGGGTTTCACCACGTTGGTCAGGCTGGTCTCGAACTCCTGATCTCAGGTGATCTGCCCGCCTCGGCTTCCCAAAGTGCTGGAATTACAGGCATGAGCCACCGCGCCTGGCGATTTTCTTTTCTTTCTTTCTTTTTTTTGTAGACGGAGTCTCGCTCTGTCGCCCAGGTTGGAGTGCAGTGGCCGGATCTTGTCTCACTGCAAGTTCGGCCTCCCGGGTTTACGCCATTCTCCTGCCTCAGCCTCCCGAGTAGCTGGGACTACAGGTGCCCGATACCTCGCCCGGCTAGTTTTTTTGTATTTTTTTAGTAGAGACGGGGGTTTCACCATGTTAGCCAGGATGGTCTCGATCTCCTGACCTCGTGATATGCCCGTCTCGGCCTCCCAAAGTGCTGGGATTACAGGCTTGAGCCACCGCGCCTGGCCGATTTTCTTTTCTTTAAGACCAATCTGAAAGTGCGGAACTCTGTGCACCTGAAATGGTTACATTTTGATATTGACATGAAAAAATTGGGTTCTACTTTGCCCCAGTTTCTCAACCCAAAGAAGACATTCCAAAAGTTTCCTATGGGGCCTAGGAAGTTTGTCCTTCACAGGATAGTGGCAGGAGTGTTAACTTTGTCCTATTACCAAAAGGTGTCAAAGCTATTACTAAACTGTCTGTGACAGTATGGGAAACCCTGACAGCACTGGGGAATTCCTCATGGTCCTTCCAGACCATGGTCACAGTGAGTACCAGATTCTGTTGCCCTGGCCCTGTGGGGAAATCTCCAAGATAGCTGCTGATAGTTAAGGAAACAGTGTTCTGCCTAGGCTGGGTGAGAGAGATTGGGTGAGACAGGCTGCACTTCCTCAGTGAGTGTGCATATGCCCGTTCGCACTGCCTGTCGTTTCCTCACCCACTGTGAGAGCAGTGGGCTCAGCTGGGCTGAGTGGAGAATTCATGGGACCTTTCCATGGTCAAGGCCCAAAACTTCTATTGTATAGCATCCCTGGAACAGAGAAAGGAGGCAGTCAAGGCCCCAGCTTCAACCTTTTAACAGTAAACCAGAAAAGACCAAGTAGTGAGGCCTCCACTGTCTCACACAAGCCAAGACCAGGTCTTACACTATCCAGTGTTCCTTTCTCTCTTTCACGGTGCTGAATTTGGGGAATGAGCACTCCATTGTCATAGGAGGGGCAGATGGGGGTGGAAGAGTGAGAAGGGTGAAGGTAGGACATAGACATTCCCACTAAGCCAGAGACCCCTGAACTGCCATAGCCATGACATGCACAGGTTGTCCTCAAATCCCAGGGCCATGGACAGGTCTTGGGTGTCTTTCAAATTTTAAGTTCCTTGGCATCTGTCTAGTTTAAAACCCGATTTAGGTTCAGTTCAACCAGGGAGTATGATTCTTTGGGGAGAGGGCCCTGACCTAGAAATCTACATGCTCAGCGGTCTGCCCAGCTGCTAATGGCTCTGACACACTGGAAAGGCACTCACCCTCTGAGGGTTTCAGACTATATCTTTGAAAATAAAATTCAGTGGATGAGGTACTGGGTGCAAAGGTATTGTCCTCTACAGCTCTAAGTTGCTACTTCTAACTCACAGGGTACATATCACAAAGGATCCCACCATCCATTGTCGGTCTGAGCAGGGAATGGGACTTTGGCAGACCATGAATCCTGTGTTAGTTTCCAGAGGGACTATAACAAAACACCACAGACTTGGGGGCTTAAACGGAGATTGTACCACTGCACTCCAGCCTGGGTGACAGAGTAAGACTCTGAATCAAAAAAAAAAAAAAAAAAAAAAAAAAAAAGTGTATACATAGGGAGCACTCTGAGATGAGTAACTCAAAGGGGTGGTTAGAATTTGGGATCTACCTAACAGCAGGGGAAAAGGAGGAGGAATAAAGGACATATGGAAAACCAAATGACTTTTGAAAAGATAAATGGTCCCTTAGAATAGATGGAAGATTCGAGTCTTGTGACAATGTCTATTTGGGTGTGATGACTACTTCTCATCTCTGAGATTAGATTTGCTTCTAGTCCTGAAGAAGGTTTATGACAACTGAGTTAAAAATTTGAGATTTGCGAGGGGGATCTGCTATTAAATAGGTAAGGGATTTTAACTGCTTATTTCAGCTGAAAATAATTCTTAAGTCGAAACTGGCACATCTGGAGGTAGCATGTCCTGATCCCCTTAAAAAGGGAACTGAATAGACCCCGTATCTCTGATTCTGCCCAGGGTCCTGTGCCCGCTGACACCAGAAATCACCACTCACTCCTCTCAGCCTTGTTTTGTGGTTGTTTTATCCTGCTGCAATTTGGTTATGTCTTTTCTAACAGTGTTTAAAAGCAATCAGATGCAGGAACTTTTCCTTTTATTAACTATTATTGAGTTTATATTGGACACTGAACTAAGTGTCAGTTTACAAAAATGAATAAACAAAAATCACTGCCAGTAAGGAACACACAGCCAAGATGGGGGAGTACTAAGATGTAAAGAGATGTAAAATAATGTGATAGATTCGGTGAGAGTTACTAAAGAGTCAGAAAAGGGCAAGCATGTTTCTTCTCTGTCCTGAAGCAGCCAAGGGAGAGGAAGATATCTGATGCCAATGCTGGGGTGTTGGTTTAGGCATGTAGATGCTGTGATGCCTAGTGGAACCGTTCAGTGAGCAGACAGGAGAACCAGCTTTATGCGGGGAGGGAGAGAACTGCTCCCCTCATGCCCCGTGAGTCACACCCTGGAGATTATAAATGTCAACATTTTGATTTCGGGAGATTTTGAGTTTTGAGCTTAAAATGACTGAAGAACCACGAGGTGGATCTACGTGTTTCGAGTCTAGAAGTCTGAATACAGATTTACGATTTATGAGCACATAGGAGGTGGATCCAAGGGAGAGATTAAACAGGGCACAGAAGAGTTTTTAAAAATAATATTTTTCGGGGGAAAAAACCCCAACCAAACGCGATTCTTTCAGCAGAAACCAGAACATTTTCTCACAGACTCTCCTACAGAGAGCCCTGATAAAGTAATAAACATGCTAACAGTAAGAACCCCAACCAATTTCATAGAGCAGTTTGTGGTAATTACTCTCAGTATGGAGCAGATAGTCCTCTTGCAAAACCCGATTTAGCAAACTTTGCTAGCTCCATGTGGGGCCTCCAGAGGACACAGTTGGGCACTAAATCCTGGCTGAAAACAAAGGCCGGTTTAGAGGATCCGTAGAAACGGATGCACAGAATATCCCTCAGTTTTCTGTGTGTAGCAGGCCCTCCACATACGCGGGTTCTCCAAGATCGAAATATCAAACAAATGAATTAAAAAAAAAAAAAATACAACAAAAGCTAGTAAAAATAAAAACAGTATAACAATTACTTACATAGCATTTACATTGGATTAGGTGTTACAAAGTAATTTAGAGACCATTTAAAGTACACGGGAGGATGTGCATAGTTATGTGCAAATACTACGCCATTTTCTATGAGAGACTTGAGCAACCAGGATTTTGGTATCGGCGGGAGGCCTGGACCAATCCCCCTCAGTTCTACCGAGGGAGAACTGTTTTGTTTCTTCCAGCACTGCTTTGAGCGACAGTGTGTTGGGATTCGCTGACCTCGCAGCATGCTGAGATCAATTTTCCCAGGGCCAGAATTCTCCTGCGTGAGCTAAAATAGAGTGGCTCGGTCCAACCAAACAGAGCCTAGAGTCAGGAATTATGGCGAACCTGCTCCCTCCCGTCCTCCCTTGGCGCACAGATCCCTGGCGCCGCGGCTCTTGAGGTCGCCTCTCGCATGTTGGCCTCATCGTCGGAACGGCGCTTCCTGAGGCTTCCTATAAGCACGGCTCTGAATCCGCTCGTCGGGATTAAATCCTGCGCTGGCGCGCTCCTGCCCGCCTCTGGCCTCCATTTGCTCTACCTGAGGCTCCCTCCAGAAGAACTTTCCCTTAGCCTCAGTGCAGTGCCTTTCGGGCGTCCTCAGACCAGACACAGGCCAAAGCCACTGCAGAATCCGGAAGCCCCGGGTTGGGATCTGAATTCTCCCGGGGACTATGGCGTAGGGGGGCGCGGGGGGGAAGAGGGTGGGAGGGACCTGAGCAGAGTGGAGGAGGAGGGAGAGGAGAACAGAAAAGAAATGACGAAATGTCGAGAGGGCGGGGACAATTGAGAAAGCTTCCCGCCGGCGCGCTTTCGGTTTTCAATCTGGTCCGATACTCTTGTATATCAGGGGAAGACCGTGCCTGCCCTGACAGAAGCTGTCTTTCGGGCTGTAGCAGTCATGTCTGGCAGGGGAAAGGGTGGAAAAGGCTTAGGCAAAGGGGGCGCTAAGCGCCACCGCAAGGTCCTGAGAGACAACATTCAGGGCATCACCAAGCCTGCCATTCGGCGTCTAGCTCGGCGTGGCGGCGTTAAGCGGATCTCTGGCCTCATTTACGAGGAGACCCGCGGTGTGCTGAAGGTGTTCCTGGAGAACGTGATTCGGGACGCAGTCACCTACACCGAGCACGCCAAGCGCAAGACCGTCACGGCCATGGATGTGGTGTACGCGCTCAAGCGCCAGGGGCGCACACTGTACGGCTTCGGAGGCTAGGCCGCCGCTCCAGCTTTGCACGTTTCGATCCCAAAGGCCCTTTTTAGGGCCGACCACTCGCTCATCTGAGGAGCTGGACACTTGACTGCATACAGTGCAACAGTAACGATGTTGGAAGGTAACTTTGGCAGTGGGGCGACAGCCGGATCTGAAGTTAACGGAAAGCTACTGTGGCCCATGGCGCTCACAGCCGTAAAGACTTAAGTCGTTGGCCGAAAGCAGCTTTTTCACTTACTTGGCCTTTTCTTTTTTTTTTTTTTTTTTGCCTTTATCTATATGAAAGGTTGAATGTGCTCTAGGTTTGAGCACTACTTTCTCGGCTTGCTCTTCTGGAGCAGTATATAGGCACACCTAGAGGGGCACGTCTTTGCGATCACCAGATCTGGTTCTGAGAAATAGGCACTGGCAATTTACCCGTGCCTTGCTATGTAATCTCCCCATATTTGCTCAGGCAAAGTGGGAGAAGCAGCCTTAGATTATCATTCTAGTGATGCCGGCTTTCCCACCCGATCGGCTTAGATTTCGCGATTGACTGTTCTGAGCTTCATTTTACCCTCTACATAACAAGCGAGTGGACTAGATCCCTTAGTAAGGGTCCATGTTATATGGTGTCTTCAGCCACGCACTCAGCTCAGTCTTAGTACAGTTAAAACAATGAGTTTCTACCAAGCTATCTGCCCAGTGCCTGAAAAGTATCATTTCTTGTGTTCAGTAAAAAGGCTCCTAATTTAATCAAGGACCTATGAGATAACTGTCTTTCAGTTGTGGCATTGCAAGGATACAAATGCAGAGACATTTTAATGTGATCCTTCTATAAGAGTGAACCAACGATATGATCTGAAAGCATCTTCACAACTAATTCAGGTATGTGACTTCTACTTCTTAGGGCCTGTTGTAGCTTAGAATGAGAGACCTGCAGAAACGTGCCCACCATCGATACAGAAAGCACAATTTAATTTTGACAAAGCAAAAGCCAATTCTATATCAGCATGGCATATGTTAAAGCAAGCTATTCTTTACCACCTCTAAATTGCCCTCATTTGGATTAAAATGTGGGTTCACATTTCTAATCCTTACAGTTTTGCAGCCATTGCATAGCCCATAAGTTTTTTGTTTTTTGTTTTTTTTTTAACATTCTAGGCTTATGATTTTACTGTGTACGTATTTGGAAGAAGAAATTCTGTCAGCTCCCAAAGGATAAACCAGCAGTTGCTTTATTGGTTTTCAGATGTGGCTGCTCTCATCAACATCAAACACTTGAGACTGAACTAAGCTTAATACACGGTACTTAGCAATCAGGTCGCCGGCAAAGCACTGGTGCGAGACTTGCCTTCCAGGAGCTTACCAATGGGGCTGCCAGCAAAGCGGCGGATGCAAGACTTGCCCTCCAGGAGCTTACCATCAGAACGGAGAAGACAAATAAATGCATAATATATAGATGACATAAATCCATACCTGTACACATTTAAGAATAAACAGTCCAATAGTAAGAGGCAGTACATATTCAATATGCTGAGAAATGTAGACAATAACTACTATAGGAATCCTAATGCTACAGAAGTCACTGGCTGCTGGGAAACCAAGGAAAACTTGGCTATGGACGTTGGGGCTTGTGTCGGACTCTGAATAAAGGGCAGAATGATTGGCATCCTACTGAGATACAGAGTAAAGGGGGTGAGGGCAGGGAGGAAGTGGCAAGAATAACATTTGTGAAGATGTCCAGGTAAGAAATAGAGGTTGTAATGCTCAAGATGTTTCCTTTTCCCTTTTAAATCTGACCTGTGATTTTCAGCATTGCTATTTCAAGTATCACTGTTTTTTTTTTTTTAATTTTAAAGGCAATGCTGATGAATCTGTCTGATCCTCACCAAGATCCACTAAAGAAGGAGGTATCAAAAATTTGAAGATAAAGAAAGAAAGGGAGTGGGGGAGAAAACATGTCCATTGTCTGAATCAGTTGTTCTCAAAATGTAGCCTCTCATCTAGCAGCACTGATCACCTGGGATAAAGTCTTGGGCCCCACCCCAGACCTATTGAATGAGAAACTGAGGGGTGAGACATAGTAATCTGTGCTTTAAAAAAGCCCTCCCGGTGATTCTGATACACATTAAAGGTTGAAAGCCACTGACTTAGGTAACAGCATTTCTTTCTTTCTCTCTTTCTTTTTTTCTTTCTCTTTCTTTCTTTCTCTCTTTCTTTCTTTTTTTTTCTTTCTTTCTCTTTCTTTCCTTCCTTTCCTTTCTTTCCCTTCCATCCTTCCTCTTTCTTTTTATGAGATGGAGTCTCAATCTGTCATGCAGGCTGGAGTGCAGTGGCACGATCTTGGCTGACCACAACCTCTACCTCCCGGGTTCAAGTGATTCTCCTGCCTCAGCCTCCCGAGTAGCTGGGACCACAGGCGCCCACCACCACTCCGGGCTAATTTTTGTATTTTTAGTAGAGATGGAGGTTTTGCCATGTTGGCCAGGCTGGTCTCGAACTCCTGACTTTAGGTGAGCCGCCCTCCTCGGCCTCCCAAAATGCTGGGATTACAGGAGTGAGCCACCGCGCCTGTCCTCTTTTTCTTTTTTTTAAACAGTTTTTGTTTTAATGCAAAAATATTTAAAACCTGAATATATGTTGCCCAGATGTTCACCCAAATGTTAAAATTTGCTTTGTGAGTGAGACCCTGTTTCATACACACACACACACACACACACACACACACACACACACACACACACACACAATGTGTAGAGCTCAGGATAGGGTCTCAGCAGAAGATACCAATTTGGGAGCACTTAGCTAAGGGACAGAAATGTGGAAAGCAGGGAGTCGATCTCACTTGAGTTGCAGGGAGAAAAGAAGATGGCCAAGGCCAGCACGGGGGAAACCAGGAATATTGATGGGGAAGAGAAAGACATGAGAAGACTGAGATGGGAACCTAGAGAAGGATAAGGGTGACCAGGAGAGTGGACAAGTCCTCTTCTAAGGAAGAAAAAGCAGTGTAAACATGGCCATGTCTCTTACCACATAGTTCCCCTCCAAACACACACATACACACACACACCTGTCCCCCACTAGCCTGCCTAAGGCAGAATTAAATGTGAACAAAGCACGTTTTTCACTTCATAAAAGCCACAGATTCAGAGTGGGCTTACTGGCAAGGTAGCCACGTAGAAGCTAGTTATTAGAGGAAGAGGTGGGTTTGAGACAGGGTCTCACTGTCTTGTCACCCACACTGGAGTGCAGTGGCACAATCTCAGCTCACAGCAGCCTCCGCCTCCCGGGCTTAAGTGATTCTCCCACCTCAGCCTCCCGAGTAGCTGGGACCACAGGCAAATGGCACCACCCCCGGCTAGGTATTTCTTTTTTCTTTTTCTTTTTCTTTTTGTTGTTGTTGTTGTAGAGACAGGGTCTTGCTATGTTTCCCAAGCTGGTCTGGAACTTTGACTTCAAGCAATCCGCCCGCCTCCGCCTCCCAAAGTGCTGGGATTAACAGCTGTGAGCCACAGTGCCCAGCCAGAGGAAGAGTATTTCTTTACCGTATCCTTAATTATCCTTTAACTGTCACCTGAGGGTAGACAATGATTTAAGTACAGGGAATGATTAAATGTTAAAACTTAGCATTTTAGAATGTTATCTTGTATTGATGAATTCAGCTTATGCTGGTCTCGCAAACAAATACGAAGACTGACAGATTCCTGTGAGTGCAGGCCTTCACAGTGCCAGGACCGCAACCTGTAATGAATTCTATTCCTGACTGGATATAAAAAAATGCCACGAAATTTTCCTTTGAGATTCAGCCGGGGAGACCTCCCGGAGTTTAGAGGTGCCCAGACTGGTGAGTGAAAGGAGTGTGATCTGGAGGGCGGGGTGGGGGGGGCAGTCAGAGGACCTAGATGTCTGACACCAACATCCGCAGCTTCCGGTCTCTGCTCAGTCACTACTGGGCCTGAGAAGCTGGGTGCAGAGATGGTGGGTGACCCACCCACCTCTGAAGGTCACTACTTTTTGAAGTCAGAATACCGCCCATGCACGGTGGGCCTAAGCAGGTTATGAGAGTCTCCGCAGAGACCTGGAGGCATTCTCTAGAAATTGCTGTGACCCTGGAGCAGAAACATGTGGCAGTCCCCAGCAGGGCTCACCTACACTGCTCTCCTCACTTAACACGCCTCAGGAAAGCCAAAATGGCAGCTTTACAAAACGAAGTTTTATTCCATTATCCCTTCTCTTCTCCCCTCTTAATTCTCACAGATCTCTGCGGCGAATGCTTTTAACCTGTTAACTGTGATGAAACAAACAGAAAACCAAAGCCCTGGCTTCTTTGAGGAGCAAATAAATGACCGAGACGGTGTTACCTAAGACCTCTATGGCCATTTGTGTCTGGCCCTGTGTAGAGTGGGCTCTGCAAGACCCTGCGTCACTTTCCCACTAAGAGGCCTTGGACTTCCCAGCTCCCAGAGACTACAGAGATCGCCTCTGAGGCCTCCTGTCACGATTTCCTAAGGTGAGGAACTTCATTTGCCCAACGGAGGCCCACGTTCTGCCTGTTTGATCTACTGTCTTCCCAAGGATCTGAACTCGGGGACCAGCGTCTGCCCACATGTCCGACGAAAACAATGTAAAGAAACTACTGAGTCTGGACAGAAAATCCAGACACACCATGCAGCTTCTAAGAGGACCGAGTGCCCTCATTGGAACAGAGTGAGTCTCCTTCTGTGGACATGGACAGGGAACAGCTCGATTAAGCCCAGATTCACAAAATTCCGCCCACACCCCGCGCCCCCGGGGATTTTGGCTTAGGGGCAGGATGTGGGGGTTACCACTGTGCTGGTGGAGGTGGCGTGAGCCCGACCGGCAGCCCCAGCGCAGTTCTCCCCACGTTTGCCCGCAGAACCCCGGCGAGGCCGAGGTGGTCATTTCCCTCGCTAGCCGGAGGGCCGCGCCGGGTGACGCCGGTTTGGGCGCGAAGCACGGGCGTGTGGCCCTCCACTTCCGCAAAGGCCAGGCGCTCTCAGGACCGCGAGCCCTGAGCGTCCGCCTGGTGACCCCTGGCCTCGGGACCGACGCCCTGTCCCTCCCGCCCCACCTCCCCCCGCCACGCAGGGCCCCGGTCACGCGCAGGAAGAGCCGGACCGTCAAAGCCCCCAAGCCGGCGCCAAGGAAAGCCGCCGCAGCCCGGCCAGGCCAACTGGCCGAAGTCGGCAGAGCTCAAGATGGCACCGCAGCAGGGGACCTGACTTGTCAAGCGACCCCGTGTTTTTTTGGGAGCCTAACCGGAAGTGCCTTCCCCGCTCTAATGCCGGAGGGGGAGCACGGAGGGCAAGCGGTACAGCTTCTTCCAAGTGCTGATGTGGGTGGCTCTGAAAAGAGCCTTTTGGATGCGATGGAACCTCCGACCAAACACGCACTTCTTAAGCCCGCTCACCACGGATGCGGCGGGCCAGCTGGATGTCCTTGGGCATGATGGTCACGCGCTTGGCGTGGATGGCGCACAGGTTCGTGTCTTCGAACAGCCCCACCAGGTAGGCCTCGCTGGCCTCCTGCAGCGCCATCACGGCAGAACTCTGGAAGCGCAGGTCCGTCTTAAAGTCCTGCGCGATCTCGCGTACCAGCCGCTGGAAGGGCAGCTTGCGGATCAGCAGCTCCGTGGACTTCTGGTAGCGCCGGATCTCCCGCAGGGCCACGGTGCCGGGCCGGTAGCGGTGCGGCTTCTTCACCCCGCCCGTGGCCGGCGCGCTCTTGCGGGCCGCCTTGGTGGCCAGCTGCTTCCTCGGGGCCTTGCCGCCGGTCGACTTGCGGGCAGTCTGCTTAGTACGGGCCATAGCGAACCAACACACAAGCTTACCAGCGCAGCGGCGGGGAGAGAAACGAGCTGCTGGCCCCGCGGCAGCCGTCTTTATAAGCACAGTCTTTTCCCGATTGGGCGGAACAAGAATTGAAAATCCCGCGCTGGCTGTCCATTGGCTGTGACGTCACCCGTCCTAAAGTCACCGGTTGGCTTGGGCAGAGTCCTCCCTAATCCCGCCCACCCGCCTCACTTTCTACTTTCCAGTTGGCCAAGTTTTGCAAGCTTGTTTTTCCCCCTTTCCTTTAGGGTGAAAGTCGTTTTCCGTGGCAGTTTTGTCAGATTGTTCCCTGTCCGCCCTTCGCTTCCTTTCTTGTTGCGCCCAGCGGCTCCGGCATGGAACCTCATTCTTCCATTTGCCCCCAGCCTTCAGTTGCTACTTGGCGGGTGGTTTTTCGCCTGTCGGATACCTTTTGGGTGGGAGAGGTGCCCGCCCCCAGATTCCGCCTCCGAGACCCTTACTCTCCGCCGCCAAGGCGCTTTGGGAAACAAAACAGAAACTAAGACTTAAGTTAGCTCCGTGAAGCCAAGACCCAGCTCCGCCACACTGGGCGAGCACTACCCCATCGGGGGTGGGGGCAAGGAGCACGTCCCGCTAGTGCTAGGCTAGGTCTAAGTGCCCGGCCATGGCCTGCGGAAACCACTGGGGAAGCGCGCGCTCCGGGCGCAACACTTTAAGCGCCTTGGGTACTGCCCGCGGCGCTGGTGTTTGTAACTGTGTGGAGTGGACCGTGGCGGCGCCCAGGATGTTTGGTGCCTCCACCTGCGCTGGGAAGTCCTAGGAGTGGGGGCCCACTCATCGATGACCCAAGGCAGTTACGTGCTCCAGATGCAAGACGGCACACGCGCGCGCACACACACACACACACACCCCCGTCCCGTCCCGTCCGGTCCGCTGCAGGTTCGCAGTTTACTACTGAGAAACGCTGGACTGAGAGGAGCCGGCATTAGCAACTCTTTTATTTGAAAACGTGAGTGGCTCTGAAAAGAGCCTTTTGAGTTCACAGGTGCCCCTTCGAGACGCGGGCCGGGCTGGGCCCACTTGGGCCGGACGTCAGCCTCACTTGCCCTTTGCCTTGTGGTGACTCTCCGTCTTCTTAGGGAGCAGCACGGCCTGGATGTTAGGCAGGACGCCGCCCTGGGCGATGGTGACTTTGCCCAGCAGCTTGTTCAGTTCCTCGTCGTTGCGGATGGCCAGCTGGAGGTGACGAGGGATGATGCGCGTCTTCTTGTTGTCCCGAGCCGCGTTGCCCGCCAGCTCCAGGATCTCGGCGGTCAGGTACTCGAGGACCGCCGCCATGTAGACTGGCGCGCCGGCCCCCACCCGCTCCGCGTAGTTGCCTTTGCGCAGCAAGCGGTGCACTCGCCCTACCGGGAACTGGAGGCCGGCGCGGGACGAGCGCGACTTGGCCTTGGCGCGGGCCTTGCCTCCTTGCTTGCCACGACCAGACATGACAGCGATAGTAGTCACCGAGTGAAACTCCTGCCTGGCGACCGGAAAAGTCACCGAAAACGCCGCAGCTTCACCCTTTTATAGACAGAACGGCGATTGTCCACGGAGCACTTTGATTGGCTCAAGCAAATTTTGTCCCGATAGCCAATAGGATAGCTCAGCCAGAATCCACTCATTTACATAATCTCGTCTCCCTCGCATTGGGCGCCGCGAAAAACTCGCGAACCACAACGCAGCGTCATGCGCACGGCCTCTGTAAGTGCACAGTCGTTTCCGGTAGACCCCGAGACCAAGGTTCTGCCTGCGTTCTCGGGGGTTGAGAGTCGGTGTTGGGTCTGGCCGTGCCTGAACCTGCAAAGTCCGCGCCCGCTCCCAAGAAGGGCTCCAAGAAAGCCGTCACCAAAGCCCCGAAGAAAGACGGCAAGAAGCGCAAGCGCAGCCGCAAGGAGAGCTACTCCATCTGCATGTACAAGGTGCTGAAGCAGGTCCACCCCGACACCGGCATCTCGTCCAAGGCCGTGGGCATCGCGAACTCCTTCGCCAACGACATCTTCGAGCGCATCGCGGGAGAGGCGTCCCGCCTGGCGCACTACAAGCGCTCCACCGTCACGTCCCGCGAGAGCCAGACGGCCCTGCGCCTGCTGCTGCCCGGCGAGCTGGCCCAAGCACGCCTTGTCCGAGGGCACTTGCAAGGCCGTCACCAAGTACACCGGCTCCAAGTGAGTCCCGGCTGCTTGACTCCAAAGTCTCTTTTCTGGGCTGCTTAACCCCTTCGGTGAAACTTAACCCTTCGGTGAAAACAAACTGTTTTTCACTGCTTACTGTAAGTTCTACTTAGGATTTTTTTCACAGCACCTTATCCCTTTTTCTGCAGCTGATGGGAGAGGAATATGATAAAGCCGGAATTCGTAGCTTGGTCGAGAACTACCTGGTAATAACATGGTAATGTGCACATAATTTGCCTTTTCCATAGTCGGTTTGCTACCGGGGCGGTCAGTGTAAATCTGCTCAGGAGAGTGGAAGAAAAAAATGTTAATTGCATATTGAGCTCGTTAAATTGTGTAGTAATCTGAGAATATTCCTAAACTTTTGTGACCACGCCTCACCATGTAAACTTTCCTTCCGCAGCTGTAGACCTCCATTCTATGGTTGAAGCAATTTTCCGTTTACATAGTCCTCTTGTCTCAATTTGGTATTCCTTTCAGGTACTGTGAGCTCATAGGTATTTATTCCCTGGGTTCAAGACGTTAAATGCTCTCAGAATAGAGTAATGGAAAGGCTGCTGTCATGGATAGTAAGCTTTATCAAGTGTTGGTATGTAGACACCTCACTGTGATCGTTGGGTATTTTACCAATATCTGCGCAAGAAAATGTACTGAAAATTAGGTCTTAAGTTTTAAGGCCTTCATTTTTGAGACTGGATACCTTAAACAATAGTTTCCTAAACAGTTAAAACTTATTTTACCCTGAAGCTTTTGAGACACACACAAATATATATACCCTGAAGCTTTTGAGACACACACAAATATATACATAAATATATTTTATATTCCTTAAACCCCACATATTTCCACTGATCCAAATCACTGGGGGCGAGAGACAAGCAATCTATGACACAACACCAGGTGATTCTTAAGTTTGGTAACCACTGACTTTGCTCATGCAGTTGCCATATTCCTTGGTAAGAACGTGTCTACAATTTTTCAGTCACTATGCCAGATAATTCCCCTCCCCACACCCCCTTTTCCGAGAATTGCAGTGCGATATACAAAAGTTTCATTTAATCCTTTATTAAATTAGGACTTTATATATTTTTATTAGGATTGAAAATACATTTCAAAAAGATCAAGTGAGAACAGAAGATAAAAGTACCAAGATAAAGGCATACAAACTTACCAGAAAATACACATTGCCACTGTAGTGTCCTAGTAGCCCCTTCACTTTTTTTCTTTATGTACCTAAAATTCCAAATAGTATCTTCCAGGATGACACACTTGCTGTGTACCCCACCCAAATAAAAACAGATTTTTTAGTTATTAGGTATTGTGCTAAATGTACCTTATTTTATTGCCAAAAGAAAAAAAAAAAGCAAGCTTTTGAAAGCTTCATCCCCAGGAAACATTTTCTTGCTTTTTACACATACCTTGGCATGGATTCTACTGAGAGATAAAGCCTAAGCCTGCAAAAGTTAATTTAAAGCATGGAGGTGGGGCCGAGAGAAAGACAGTAGGGAAAGGTTGAGTTAGTAAGGCAGGTATGTGACTTCCTTTTAACAGGCACCTGCATGGCGTTGAGTAAATAACCAGTTATATGTGGGGAGGGAGGTCAACATTTGGTCCTGGGGACTGGAGAATAAGAGCAGGAAAGCAATAAACAGCTAACTATGAGAGTGACTCAATGTAATTATATTACTTGTCAATCGCTACTTTTCCTTTCTTACCAAAATTCACACAGGTATGAAAGCAATATGACATTCAGGTTCTATTATGTATTTGTGCATGACTTCCCACAATAAGGAGAAGAAACCACTGCACATTCGGATAAAATATGCTGGGAATACAGCAGTAACAGAATAGAAAGTCTACACTTTAATTAGTGGATAAGTAAAATAAGTGAACAAATAAATTTATATTATTCAGGGGGCTATATAAAAAATTCTGTTAAGTAAAGCAGAACGGAGTGGAATAGGGATGACAGGTTTGATAGTTAATACTTGAGCAGAGCTGTATACAGTAAGATAGTTATAGAATATCTTAAGGCAGAGTATTCTCAGAACAACATGGTGGTACAAAGGCCCCAAGGCAGGAACAAGCTGGTGAATGGCTGAAGCACACTGACCAAGGGAAAGTTTTGCAGAGACTGTGAGAGGTGCTCAAGGCCAGATCATGTAGGCCATTAAGGAGCTTCACAGGCCATTGCAGAGATTTTGTCTTTTAAATGAGATAGAGTACTCTTGGAGAATTTGACTGACTGGAGAGGCTGGTGGTAGCAATGGAGATGTGGAGATGCAGATTAGTTATGAGATATTTTAAAATGAAATTGATTTAGTATAGGCTGACTAAAAGAGAAATCAAGGATTAATTGTAGGTTTTTACACTGAGCACTTGAAAAGAGCTACTATTTGGTTGATAGGAGGGAGGAGTAGTTCCTGAGGAAGGAAACCAAGAATACTGTTGAATGTAATGTTGAAGACTTAAAGTATCAAGTATAAATATCACAGGAAGTCAGAAATATGAGAATCTGGAGTTTAGGAGAAGGGATTAGGTTTATAAGATCTCATACTGGGGCCTGATTCTTATTCTTTGTGTAGATAATCTACCCTTTCTTTCTGTAAATATTTAGATCATGTCTGTGTGTATACACACACACACACACACACACACACACACACACACACACTTACTCTTCGCCCCCAGGACTGCCTCAGCTTTCATCTCAGTATTTGACTGAAACCTATTCAACTTCAGTTTTAGCCTTAGAATAATGAGATGTCTATGTCAATGTCATTTGGGGCATCTCTGGTCTTGTGCAGTCACAAAAGTCACCATTACCACTACACAGTATGCTGCATTATGACCAATGGATATCATCTATAGAGTTCTAGTTTCCATATGCTATTATCAAACGTATATAATAAAGCTTTTAATATAACTTGGGGGTGAAATTAGTGAAATATCAATTTATATATAATTAATTTTATTGTAAAATACATTAATGTATGAGTTTCTGTACTGTCTTTGATTACAGTTTTTAAAGTATTTCCCATTTTTTTATTTTGAAAATTTTAAACCTACAGAAAAGTTGGAAAAAAAAGTACAAAGAGCAACCATAGTCCCTTCACCTGGATTCACCAATTATGATGATTTCGCTGCATTTGCCTTATCTTTGTCTTCTCAGGTACACACAGCCCTCTGGACTCCATCTGAAAATAAACTGCAAACATGTTGGCACTTCTCCGTAAATACGGTGGCATGTCTCTTAAAAATAGGATATTCTCCTAAATAGCTACAATAACATTATTATACGTAATAAATTTAATGCTGATTCTGTATTAATATGCAATCCATATTCAGATTTCTCCAATTATCGGAAAAACTCTGTATAGCTGTTGTATGAGTTTCCTGTGGCTGCTGCAACAAATTACTACAAACCTAATGGTTTTAAACAACAGTCATTTATTCTCTTACAGTTCTGGGGTCTTGGGGCACAAAATCAATTTTACTCAGTAGAAATCAAGGCTGCACTCCCTCCAGAAGCCTTAAGGGGGAGGGTCTATTCTCCATGCCTTTCCAGCTTCTCGAGAGGTTTATTTCTGGTTTATGGTCCTCTATCTTCAAAGCAAGCAGCCTGTTAATCTTCAAATTCTCTCTGCTTCTACACTTGACTTTCTTGCCTCTTCTATACGGACTGTGGTGATTACATTTGGGGCCTATCTGGATAATCTGGCATAATCTCTCAATCTCAGAATTACATCTGCAAAATCTCCTGGCTATATACGTAATGCCCAGGCTCTAGGATTAGGATATGGACATATTTGGGAGCCACATTTAGCCTGCTACACATTGACTAATGTTACGGGCTGGAGTTGCATGTCCCCAAAAGATATGTTGAAGTCTAACCCCTAGTTCCTTAGAATTTTGCCTTCTTTGGAAACAGGGTCTTTGCAGATGTAATCAAGTTAAAATGAGGTCACTAGGGTGGGCCCTAATCCAGTATGACTGATACCCTTATAAGAAGACATGGAGACGGGGCTGGGCAGTGGCTGGCCGCCTGTAATCTCAGCACTGGGAGGCCAAGGCAGGTGGATCACCTGAGGTCAGGAGTTCGAGGCCAGCCTGACTAACATGATGAAACTCCATCTCTACCAAAAATACCAAATTAGCCGGGCGTGCTGATGCACGCATGTAATCCCAGCTACTCAGGAGGCTGAGGCAGGGGAATTGCTTGAACCCCGGTGGAGTTGCAGTGAGCCAAGATCATGCCATTGCACTCCAGCCTGGGCAACAAGAGAGAAACTTCATCTAAAAAAAAGAAAGAAAACATGGAGACATACATGAAAAGACTGAGGTAGAGATTACAGTTATGCTGCCACAAACCAAAGAACAAATGGGGCTACCAGACACTGAAAGACAAGAGTCTTCCCCTAGTGGGTTTGGAGAGAGCATGGCCCTACCAACACTTTGATTTCAAACTTCTGGCCTCTAAAACCATGAAAGAATAAGTTTCTGTTGTTTTATGCCATACAGTTTATGGTACTTTGACAGCCTCAGGAAATTAATACAACTACTAAAATTTTTTGATTTAGTTTATTTAAAAATTTTAAATAACATTTCACATCTTAAAAAAAAACAAAACCCTGGACATTCTTCCTGTGATAGTACATTAGTCTTTAGCCTTAGTCAAGTATTGATTTTCAACATATGGACATTTGTTCCAAATATGTAATAGGAGCAACTCTGTCCTAATAGACCCCATTTGACTTCTTTGAGACCTTTCACGAAAGATCTTTCCTTGTATCTAGAAAATTATTTATTATTCCTGAAATATTTCAGGATTCAAACTGGTATATAAACAAAATACGTCAGACAAATTGGCTTAACTGAAGTCCAAAGGTACAGCAGGGATCCAAGGTTGACTGAATTCCATGAGTGGCCCAGTTCTCTGATTCTCCCACACTGTGCTCCCTCCTCCTGCATTTTGTCTATAATCATTCTTGCCTTCATACTCTAAAGACAGTCCATCCTGCTGCTACCTCTTGAAAGCAAATAAGCTGCTTTCCCAAAAGATAATGGCATGCTACACTCCCCTGCTGAGTTAGTCAGTTGTTAACTCAGTTCACTTCCTGAAACAAGAATGCCAATTAGTTTGATCTAGATTCCTGAACTAATCACAAAGAAGCAGGTTGAGACAACAAACAAATCAGGCCAACTCAAGAACTGTGGGCAAATGTCGCTTTCTGGAAACACATGTGGCAGCACTGTAACAGAAACATAATTATAAAAACAAATACTACCTAGTCAATAACATACATTATAGACCATGAACTACTCAGTTATACCTCATGACAAACACATATAATAAAGTCTAGAAAAATACTTTGCTGGGTGATGTCCATCATTCCCATTGCTGTTCAGACAGTTCACGGGTAGATCTTAGACAGGCTTGCGTTGTTCACTGAACTCTCTAGATCCATCTCTCAAACTGTCAACTGCACATATCCACTTGAATAGCAAAGAGCTTCTCAAATTTCAAGCGGAACTCTGGATCTCCTTCAGTGTCCTAACGAGTATCTTCCCAGCAATTTATCCTAATAGTACCACTAATTCAAGCACAGTTGCTCAAGCCAAAATCTAGGGGTTTCACTGTTACCAAATCCCATTCCTCAGCCACATCTATTCTACGTCAAAGATAAAATCCAACATTTCTGTCGCACACACCACTGTACTCCAACATGTTATTTATCTGCTGTTTTTCACACTTTAGCATGCATCAGCATCACCCAGAAAGCTTAACACAAATCATGGAACCTGGGAATTTTCATTTTTAATAACTTCAACTAATGCAGATGCTGCTGGTCTGGAAAGACTTTAAGACGATCACTGCTCCATAGACCACAAAACTGCAACAGCCTAATTGCTTTCCTCTTAAGTCATATTGTGGCTAGCCTAGGATTTATGATTCCCAAAGCCATCAGTATAATCTTCTAAGGTTAACAATGAGGCTGTGTGATTCCAAATCCAGTGTTCCCAAAAGAGAGAACAAACCTAATCAACTTCTCTTGCAACTGGTGGTCCTTCTGTTGTTCAGGCATCCCAAACTCTGGCTTCAGAAATCATACATATTTGTTGTTACTTGTATGGAACTAATCATTAAACTGACAAGCTTTTCCAAGCAGATAATTCTTAGGGAAAAGTCACTAATGGTATTGCAGATTTTAGGGTATCTCAAGTAGGAAGCACAGATGAAAAGTTAACGATGTTAATTCCTGGTTATCAAAATCAAACTTCCATTCACCTGCTTAAAATTTTCTACATGAATGGTGTAGGCACGTGTGTTTGTGAACCAACGATATAAAAAAACCTCAAGAAATTTCTCGATACCATATATAAAAAGTTGAACTATTTATTCCTAAGTACACATCTGAGAGCATATAATGTATTTAATCTCTACCTTCATTTTACCACTGAAGAGCAGACCCAACCTTTGTTCATATAGACAATTTGGTTCATATAAGCTTACCAAAAATTAACACTGCATTTCTAACCAGGACACAATTTGCTGGGTACATATTCACGGTACGTAGGCAGAACAAAGACAGTTTGGAAGAGCAGCCTTGCTAAACCCCAGCATCAGACCATAGTAAGATACCACTATCAATCGATGCTTTGTTTACAACAATGCCTTATGTGAAAAATAATATAGTTATCTGTGCTTGGTGGAGTTGTGTGCTCTCCGAAAGTTAAGCAGACGGAAAGCCAAAAATATAAACTGTACTGACAACATAAAGATTCTTTCACCGAAGGGGTTAAGCAGCCCAGAAAAGAGACTTTGAGTCACAGCTGGACTCACTGGAGCCGTACTTGCGACGGCTCTGCAAGTGCCCTCGGACAAGGCGTGTCAGCCAGCTCACGGGCAGCAGCAGGCGCAGGGCCGTCTGGCTCTCGCGGACGTGACGGTGGAGCGCTTGTAGTGCGCCAGGCGGGACGCCTCTCCCGCGATGCGCTCGAAGATGTCGTTGGCGAAGGAGTTCGCGATGCCCACGGCCTTGGACGAGATGCCGGTGTCGGGGTGGACCTGCTTCAGCACCTTGTACATGCAGATGGGAGTAGCTCTCTTGCGGCTGCGCTTGCGCTTCTTGCCGTCTTTCTTCGGGGCTTTGGTGACGGCTTTCTGGTTCTCCGGGAGCGGGCGCGGACTTTGCAGGTTCAGGCACGGCCAGACCCAACACCGACTCTCAACCCCCGAGAACGCAGGCAGAACCTTGGTCTCGGGGTCTACCGGAAACGACTGTGCACTTACAGAGGCTGTGCGGATGACGCTGCGTTGTGGTTCGCAGAGTTTTTCGCGGCGCCCAATGCGAGGGAGACGAGATTATGTAAATGAGTGGATTCTGGCTGAGCTATCCTATTGGCTATCGGGACAAAATTTGCTTGAGCCAATCAAAGCAAGCCCGTGGACAATCGCCGTTCTGTCTATAAAGGGTGAAGCTGCGGCGTTTCGGTGACTTTTCCGGTCGCCAGGCAGGAGTTTCACCGGTGACTACTATCGCTGTCATGTCTGGTCGGCAAGCAAGGAGGCAAGGCCCGCGCCAAGGCCAAGTCGCGCCTGTCCCGCGCCGGCCTCTCCAGTTCCCGGTAGGGCGAGTGCAACGCTTGGCTGCGCAAAGGCAACTACGCGGAGCGGGTGGGGCCGGCGCGCCAGTTCTACATGGCGCGGTCCGGAGTACCTGACCGCCGAGATCCTGGAGCTGGCGGGCAACGCGGCTCGGGACAACAAGAAGACGCGCATCATCCCTCGTCACCTCCAGCTGGCCATCCGCAACGACGAGGAACTGAACAAGCTGCTGGGCAAAGTCACCATCGCCCAGGGCGTCCTGCCTATATCCAGGCCGTGCTGCTCCCTAAGAAGACGGAGAGTCACCACAAGGCAAAGGGCAAGTGAGGCTGACGTCCGGCCCAAGCAGGCCCGGTAGCCCGCTCCGCGTCTCGAAGGGGCACCTGTGAACTCAAAAGGCTCTTTTCAGAGCCACTCACGTTTTCAAATAAAAGAGTTACACGCCGGCTCCTTCAGTCCAGCGTCAGCAGTAACTGCGAACCTGCAGCGGGACTGATTTTGGATGACGGGGTGGTGTGTGTGTGTGTGCGCGCGCGTGCCGTCTTGCATCTGGAGCACGTAACTGCCTTGGGTCATCGATGAGTGGGCCCCACCAGGACTTCCCAGCGCAGGTGGAGGCACCAAACATCCCGGCGCCGCCACGGTCCACCCACAGTTACAAACACCAGCGCCGCGGGCAGTACCCAAGGCGCTTAAAGTGTTGCGCCCGAGCGCGCTTCCCCAGTGGTTTCCGCAGGCCATGGCCGGGCACTTAGACCTAGCCTAGCACTAGCGGGACGTGCTCCTTGCCCCCACCCCCGATGGGGTAGTGCTCTGCCCAGTGCGTGGCGGAGCTGGCCTTGGCTTCACGGAGCTAACTTAAGTCTAGTTTCGTTTGTTTCTGCGCCTTGGCGGCGGAGAGAGTAAGGGTCTCTGATGGGCGGAATCTGGGGCGGGCACCTCTCCCACCCAAAAGGCATCCGACAGGCGAAACCACCCGCCAAGTAGCAACTGGAAGGCTGGGGCAAATGGAAGAATGAGGTTCATGCCGGAGCTGCTGGGCGCAATAAGAAAGGAAGCGAAGGGCGGACAGGGAACAATCTGGACAAAACTGCCACGGAAAACGACTTTCACCCTAAAGGAAAGGGGGAAAACAGCTTGCAAAACTTGGCCAACTGGAAAGAGATAAGTGAGGCGGGGTGGGCGGGATTAGGAGGACTCTGCCCAAGCCAACCGGTGACTTTAGGGACGGGTGACGTCACAGCCACGACAGCCAGCGCGGGATTTTCAATTTTGTTCCGCCCAATCAGAAAAGACTGTGTTTATAAAGACGGCTGCCGCGCCAGCAGCCTGCTCTTCCTGCCGCTGCGCTGGTAAGCTTGTGTGTTGGTTCGCTATGGCCCGTACTAAGCAGACTGCCCGCAAGTCGACCGGCGGCAAGGCCCCGAGGAAGCAGCTGGATGACGGCGCGCCCGCAAGAGCGCGCCGGCCACGGGCGGGGTGAAGAAGCCGCACCGCTACCGGCCCGGCACCGTGGCCCTGCGGGAGATCCGGCGCTACCAGAAGTCCACGGAGCTGCTGATCCGGGCAAGCTGCCCTCCAGCGGCTGGTACGCGAGATCGCGCAGGACTTCGAAGACGGACCTGCGCTTCCAGAGTTCTGCCACCGTGATGGCGCTGCAGAGGCCAGCGCGAGGCCTACCTGGTGGGGCTGTTCGAAGACACGAACCTGTGCGCCATCCACGCCAAGCGCGTGACCATCATGCCCAAGGACACCCTATTGGGCCCGCGCTGCATCCGTGGTGAGCGGGCTTGCTAGCGCGTGTTTGGTCGGAGGTTCCATCGCATCCAAAAGGCCTTTCAGAGCCACACCCACATCAGCACTTGGAAGAAGCTGTACCGCTTGCTCCTCCGTGCTCCTCCGGCATTAAGCGGGAAGGCACTTCCCGGTTAGGCTCCCAAAAACACGGGGTCGCTTGACAAGTCAGGTCCTTGCTGCGGTGCCGATCTTGAGTCGCCGACTTCGGCCAGTTGGCCTGGCCGCTGCGGCGGTTTTCCTGGCGCCGCCGCTTGGGGGCTTTGACGGTCCGGCTCTTCCTGCGCGTGACTGCCCTGGTGGCGGGGGGAGGTGGGGTGGAGGGGACAGGCGTCGGTCCCGAGGCCAGGGGGTCACCAGGCGGACGCTCAGGGCCTGCGGTCCCGAGAGCGCCTGCCTTTGCGGAAGTGGAGGGCCACACGCCTGCAGCCAAGGCCAAACCGCGCTCACCCGGCGGCCCTCCGGCTAGCGAGGAAATGACCACCTCGGCCTCGCCGGGTTCTGCGGGCAAACGGGGAGAACTGGCGCTGGGGCTGGTCGGGCTCACGCCCACCAGCACAGTGGGTAACCCCCACATCCTGCCCCTAAGCCAACCCGGGGGCGCGGGGTGTGGGCGGGAATTTTGTGAATCTGGGCTTAATCGAGCTGTTCCTCAACCATGTCCACAGAAGGACTCACTCTGTTCCAATGAGGGCACTCGGCCCTCTTGTAGAAGCTGCATGGTGTGTCTGGATTTTCTGTCCAGACTCAGTAGTTTCTTTACATTGTTTTCACGTGGACATGGGGCAGACGCTGGTCCCCTAGTTCAGATCCTTAAAGACAGTAGATCAAACAGGCAGAACGTGGCCTCCGTTGGGCAAATGAAGTTCTCTACCTTAGGAAATCGTAACAGGAGGCCTCTCAGAGGCGATCTCTGTAGTCTCTGGGAGCTGGGAAGTCCAAGGCCTCTTAGTGGGAAAGTGACGCAGGGTCTTGCAGAGCCCACTCTACACAGGGCCAGACACAAATGGCCATAGAGGTCTTAGGTAACACCGTCTCGGTCATTTATTTGCTCCTCAAAGAAGCCAGGGCTTTGGTTTTCTGTTTGTTTCATCACAGTTAACAGGTTAAAAGCATTCGCCGCAGAGATTCGTGAGAATTAAGAGGGAGAAGAGAAGGGATAATGGAATAAAACTGCTTTGTAAAGCTGCCACATCGGCTTTCCTGGAGGCGTGCTAAGTGAGGAGAGCAGTGAGGTGAGCCCTGCTGGGACTGCCACATGTTTGCCCAGGGTCACAGCAATTTCTAGAGAATGCCTCCAGGTCTCAAGTGAGACCTCATAACTCCGCTTAGCCCACCGTGCATGGGCGGTATTCTGACTTCAAAAAGTAGTGACCTTCGAGTGTGGTGGGTCACCCACTCATCTCTGCACCCAGCTTCTCAGGCCCAGTAGTGACTTCGAGCAGAGACTGAAGCGTGGATGTTGGTGCTGTGACATCCAGGTCCTGACTGCCCCCCCACCCCGCCTCCAGATCACACTTTCACTCACCAGTCTGGGCACCTCTAAACTCCGGGAGGTCTCCCGGCTGAATCTCGGCAGTAAATTTCGTGGCATTTTTTATATCCAGTCAGGAATAGAATTCATTACAGGTCATGGCCCTGGCACTGTGAAGGCCTGCACTCACAGGAATCTGTCAGTCTTCGGTGATTTGTTTTGCAGACCAGCATAAGCTGAATTCATCAATACAAGATAACATTCTAAAATGCTAAGTTTTAACATTTAATCATTCCCTGTACTTAAATCATTGTCTACCCTCAGGTGACAGCAAAGGATAACAAGGATACGGTAAAGAAATACTTTCCCTCTGGCTGCGACTGTGGCTCACAGCTGTTAATCCCAGCACTTTGGGAATGGGAGGCGGGCGGATTGCTTGTGTCAAAGTTCCAGACCAGCTTAAACATAGCAAGACCTCTGTCTCTACAACAACAACAACAAAAAGAAAAGAAAAGAAAAAAGAAATACTCTAGCCGGGGGTGGTGCCATTTGCCTGTGGTCCCAGCTACTCGGGAGGCTGAGGTGGGAGAATCACTTAAGCCCGGGAGGCGGAGGCTGCTGTGAGCTGAGATTGTGCCACTGCACTCCAGTGTGGGCAGACAAGACAGTGAGACCCTGTCTCAAACCCACCTCTTCCTCTAATAATTCAGGCTTCTACGTGGCTACCTGCCAGTAAGCCCACTCTGAATCTGTGGTTTTTATGAAGTGAAAAACGTGCTTTGTTCACATTTAATTCTGCCTCTTAGGCAGGCTGGTGGGGGACAGGTGTGTGTGTGTATGTGTGTTTGGAGGGGAACTATGTGGTAAGAGACATGGCCATGTTTACACTGCTTTTTCTTCCTTAGAAGAGGACTTGTCCACTCTCCTGGTCACCTCCCAGGACCTTCTCTAGGTTCCCATCTCAGTCTTTCTACGTCTTTCTCTTCCCCATCAATATTCCTGGTTTCCCGTGCTGGCCTTGGCCATCTTTCTCCTGCAACTCAAGTGGAGATCGACTCTGCTTCCACATTTCTGTCCCCTTAGCCAAGTGTCTAAATTGGTATCTTCACAGAGACCCTATCCTGAGAGCTTCCCACATTGTGTGTGTGTGTGTGTGTGTGTGTGTGTGTGTGTGTGTGTGTGTGTGTATGAAACAGGGTCTCACTCACAAAGCAAATTTTAACATTTGGGTGAACATCTGGGCAATATATATTCATTTTAAATATTTTTGCATTAAAACAAAACTGTTTAAAAAGAAAAGAGGATAGGCGCGGCTCACTCTGTAATCCCATTTTGGGAGGCCGAGGAGGCGGCTCACCCAAAGTCAGGAGTTCGAGACCAGTCTGGCCAATATGGCAAAACCCCATCTCTACTAAAAATACAAAAATTAGCCCGGAGTGGTGGTGGGCGCCTGTGGTCCCAGCTACTCGGGAGGCTGAGGCAGGAGAATCACTTGAACCCGGGAGGCAGAGGTTGTGGTCAGCCAAGCACTGCCACTGCACTCCAGCCTGCACATGATGATTGAGACTCCATCGTCTCATAAAAAGAAAGAGGAAGGAGAAGGGAAAGAAAGGAAAGGAAGGAAAGAGAGAGAAAGAAAAAAAGAAAGAAAGAGAGAAAGAAAGAAAGAGAAAGAAAGAAAGAGAGAGAGAAAGAAAGAAATGCCAAGTTACCTAAGTCAGTGGCTTTCAACCTTTAATGCATCAGAATCACCGGAGGGCTTTTAAAGCACAGATTATTATGTTCACCCCTCAGTTTCTTGTCTAATAGGTCTAGGTGGGGCCCAAGACTTTATCCTGTGTGATCAGTGCTGCTAGATGAGAGGCTACATTTGAGAACAACTGATTCAGACAATGGACATGCTTCCCCACCCTTTCTTTCTTTATCTTCAAATTTTTGATACCTTCAGTGGGGATCTTGGTGAGGATCAGACAGATTCATCATACTGCCTTTGTAATTAAAAAAAAAAAAAAACAGTGATACTTGGAAATAGCAATGCTGAAAAAATCACAGGTCAGATTTAAAAGGGTAAGGAAACATCTTGAGCATTACAACCTCTATTTCTTACCTGGACATCTTCACAAATGTTATTCTGCCACTTCCTCCTTGCCCTCACCCTCTTTATTTGCATTCCCAGCAGGATGCCAATCATTCTGCTCCTTTATTCAGAGTCCGAAGCACAAGCCCCAACGTCTATAAATAAGTTTTCTTGGTTTCAGCAGCCAGTGACTTCTGTAGCATTAGGATTCCCATAGTGTTATTGTCTACATTTCTCATATATTGAATATGTACTGCCTCTTACTATTGACTGTTTATTCTTAAATGTGTACAGGTATGGATTTATGTCATCTATATATTATGCATTTATTTGTTTCTCCGTCTGATGGTAAGCCCTGGAGGGCAAGCCCTGCATCCGCCGCTATTGGCAGCCCATTGGTAAGCTCCTGGAAGGCGGTCTCGACCAGTGCTTTGCCATGACCTGATTTCACAAGTACCGCATGTTTTAGTTCAGTCCAAGTGTTTTAGATGTTGATGAGAGGCAGCCACATCTGAAAACCAATAAAGAATCACATTTATCCTTTGGGAGCTGACAGAATTTCTTCTTCCAAATACGTACACAGTAAAATTCCAAGTTTAGAATGTTAAAAAAAAACAAAAACAAAACTTATGGGCTATGTAATGGTTGCAAAACTGTAAGGATTAGAAATATAACCCACATTTTAATCCAAATGAGGCAATTGCAGGTGGTAAAGAATAGCTTGCTTTAACATATGCCATGCTGATATAGAATTGGCTTTTGCTTTGTCAAAATTAAATTGTGCTTTCTGTATCGATGGTGGGCACGTTTCTGCAGGCCCTCATTCTAAGCTACAACAGGCCCTAAGAAGGTAAAGTCATGATACCTGAATTAGTTGTGAAGATGCTTTCAGATCATATCGTTGGTTCACTCTTATAGAAGGATCACATTAAAATGTCTCTGCATTTGTATCCTTGCAATGCCACAACTGAAAGACAGTTATCTCATAGGTCCTTGATTAAATTAGGAGCCTTTTTTACTGAACAATACAAGAAATGATACTTTTCAGGCACTGGGCAGATAGCTTGGTAGAAACTCATTGCTTAACTGTACTCAAGACTGAGCTGAGTGCGTGGCTGAAGACACCATATAACATTTTGACCTACTAAGGGATCTAGTCCACTGCTTGTTATGTAGAGGGTAGCCGAAGCTCAGAACAGTCAATCGCGAAATCTAAGCTGATCGGGTGGGAAAGCCGGCATCACTAGAATGATAATCTATATTAAGCCCCACTTTGCCTGGAGCAAACATGGGAGATTACATAGCAAGGCAATGGGGTAAATTGCCAGTGCCTATTTCTCAGAACCAGATCTGGTGATCGCAAAGACGTGCCTCTAGTGCTTCATATACTGCTGCTCCAGAAGAGCAAGTTGAGAAAGTAGTGCTCAAATCCTAGAGCACATTCAACCTTTCATAGATAAAGGCAAAAAAAAAAGAAAAGGCCAAGTAAGTGAAAAGCTGCTTTCGGCCAACGACTTAAGTCTTACGGCTGAGCGCCATGGGCCACAGTAGCTTCGTTAACTTGATCCGGCTGTCGCCCCACTGCCAAAGTTACCTTCCAAATATCGTTACTGTTGCACTGGTACAGTCATGTCCAGCTCCTCAGACAAAGGAGTGGTCGGCCCTAAAAAGGGCCTTTGGGATCGAAACGTGCAAAGCTGGAGCGGCGGCCTAGCCTCCGAACCGTACAGCGTGCGCCTCGGCGCTTGAGCGTACACCACATCCAGCGGCCGATTGTCTTGCGCTTGGCGTGCTCGGTGTAGTGACTGCGTCCCGAATCACGTTCTGTGAACACCTTCAGGCACCGCGGGTCTCCTCGTAAATGAGGCCGAGATCCGCTTAACGCCAACATTAGACGCCGAATGGCAGGCTGGTGATGCCCTGAATGTTGTCTCTCAGGGATCTTGCGGTGGCGCTTTAGCGCCCCTTTGCCTAAGCTTCTTCCGTACCCTCTTTCCCCTGCCAGACATGACTGCTACAGCCCGGGAAAGATACTTCGTCAGGCAGGCACGGCCCCCTGATATACAAGAGTATCGGACTAGATTGAAAACCGAAAGCGCGCGGCGGGAAGCTTTCAATTCGTCCCCGCCTCTCCTCGACATTTCGTCATTTCTTTCTGTTCTCCTCTCCCTCCTCCTCCTCCACTCTGCTCAGGTCCTCCCCACCCTCTTCCCCCGCGCCCCTACGCCAGTCCCCGGGAGAATTCAGATCCCAACCCGGGGCTTCCGGATTCTGCAGTGGCTTTGGCCTGTGTCTGGTCTGGAGGTCGCCTGAAAGGCACTCGCACTGAGGCTAAGGGAAAGTTCTTCTGGAGGGAGCCTGTAGAGCAAATGCGGAGGCCAGAGGCGGGCAGGAGCGCGCCAGCGCAGGATTTAATCCCGACGAGCGGATTCAGAGCCGTGCTTATAGGAAGCCTCGTAGCGCCGTTCCGACGATGAGGCCAACATGCGAGAGGCGACCTGCCGCGGCGCCAGGGATCTGTGCGCTAAGGAGTGACGGGAGGCGGTTCGCCAATTCCTGACTCAGGCTCCGTTTGGTTGACCGAGCCACTCTATTTTAGCTCACGCAGGAGAATTCTGGCCCTGGGAAAATTGATCTCAGCATGCTGCGAGGTCAGCGAATCCCAACATTAATTGTCGCTCAAAGCAGTGGCTGAAGAAACAAAACAGTTCTCCCTCGGTAGAACTGAGGGGGATTGGTCCAGGCCTCCCGCCGATACCAAAATCCTGGTTGCTCAAGTCTCTCATAGAAAATGGCGTAGTATTTGCACATAACTATGCACATCCTCCCGTGTACTTTAAATGGTCTCTAAATTACTTTGTAACACCTAATCCAATGTAAATGCTATGTAAGTAATTGTTATACTGTTTTTATTTTTACTAGCTTTTGTTGTATTTTTTTTTTTTTAATTCATTTGGTTTGATATTTCGATCTTGGAGAACTGCGCATGTGGAGGGCCTGCTACACACAGAAAACTGAGGGATATTCTGTGCATCCGTTTCTACGGATCCTCTAAACCGGCCTCTTTGTTTCAGCCAGGATTTAGTGCCCAACTGTGTCCCTCTGGAGGCCCCACACATGGAGCTAGCAAAGTTTACAAACGGGTTTGCAAGAGGACTATCTGCTCCATACTGAGAGTAATTACCACAAACTGCTCTATGAAATTGGTTGGGGGTTCTTACCGTTAGCATGTTTATTATTTTTATCAGGCTCTGTAGGAGAGTCTGTGAGAAATGTTCTGGTTTCTGCTGAAAGAATCGCGTTTGGTTGGGGTTTTTTCCCCGAAAAAATATTATTTTAAAACTTCTTCTGTGCCCTGTTTAATCTTCCTTGATCCACCTCTCCTATGTGCTCATAAATCGTAAATTCGTATTCAGACTTCTAGACTCGAAACACGTAGATCCACTCGTGGTTCTTCAGTCATTTTAAGCTCAAAACTCAAAATCTCCTGAAATCAAATGTTGACATTTATAATCTCCAGGGTGTGATCTACGGGGCATGAGGGAGCAGTTCTCTCCCTCCCGCATAAAGCTGGTTCTCCTGTCTGCTCAATGAACGGTTCCACTAGGCATCACAGCATCTACTAAACCAACACCCCAGCATTGAGATCAGATATCTTCCTCTCCCTTTGGCTGCTTCAGGACAGAGAAGAAACATGTTTGCCCTTTTCTGACTCTTTAGCAACTCTCACCGAATCTATCACATTATTTTACATCTCTTTACATCTTAGGGGTCATCCCCATCTTGGCTGTGTGTTCTTACTGGCAGTGATTTTTGTTTATTCATTTTTGTAAACTGACACTTAGTTCAGTGTCCAATATAAACTCAATAATAGTTAATAAAAGGAAAAGTTCCTGCATCTGATTGCTTTTAAACACTGTTAGAAAAGACATAACCAAATTGCAGCAGGATAAAACAACCACAAAACAAGGCTGAGAGGAGTGAGTGGTGATTTCTGGTGTCAGCGGGCACAGGACCCTGGGCAGAATCAGAGATACGGGGTCTATTCAGTTCCCTTTAAGGATCAGACATGCTACCTCCAGATGTGCCAAGCCACTTAAGAATTATTTTCAGCTGAAATAAGCAGTTGCAATCCCTTAATGGCCGAATAGCAGATCCTCGCAAATCTCAAATTTTTTAACTCAGTTGTCATAAACCTTCTTCAGGACTAGAAGCAAATCTAATCTCAGAGATGAGAAGCAGTCATCACACCTAAATAGACATTGTCACAAGACTCCGAATCTTCCATCTATTCTAAGGACCATTTATCTTTTCAAAAGTCATTTGGTTTTCTCCATATGTCCTTTATTCCTCCTCCTTTTCCCCTGCTGTTAGGTAGATCCCAAATTCTAACCACCCCTTTGAGTTACTCATCTCAGAGTGCTCCCTATGTATACACTTTTTTTTTTTTTTTTTTTTTTTTTTGATTTCAGAGTCTTACTCTGTCACCCAGGCTGGAGTGCAGTGGCACAATTCTCCGTTTAAGCCCTCAAGTCTGTGGTGTGTTTTGTTATAGCTCTGGAAACTAACACAGGATCTATGGTCTGCCAAAGTCCCATTCCCTGCTCAGACCGACAATGGATGGTGGATCCTTGTGATATGTACCCTGTGAGTTAGAAGTAGCACCCTAGGAGCTGTAGAGGACAATACCTTTGCACCCAGTACCTCATCCACTGAATTTTATTTTCAAAGATATAGTCTGAAACCCTCAGGAGGGTGAGGCCTTCCAGTGTGTCAGAGCCATTAGCAGCTGGCAGACCGCTGGAGCATGTAGATTTCTAGGTCAGGCTCCTCCCAAAGAATCATAATTTCTGGTTGAATTGAACTCTAAATCGGGTTTTAAACTAGACAGATGCCAAGGAACTTAAAATTTGAAAGACACCCAAGACCTGTCCATGGCCCTGGGATTTGAGGACAACCTGTGCATGTCATGGCGATGGTGTTCAGGGTCTCTGGCTTAGTGGGAATGTCTATGTCCTACCTTCACCCTTCTCACTCTTCCACCCCCATCTGCCCCTCCTATGACAATGGAGTGCCTGGCTCCCAAATTCAGGCACCAGAAAGAGAGAAAGGAACACTGGGATAGTGTAAGACCTGGTCTTGGCTTGTGTGAGACAGTGGAGGCCTCACTACTTGGTCTTTTCTGGTTTACTGTTAAAAGGTTGAAGCTGGGGCCTTGACTGCCTCCTTCTCTGTTCCAGGATGCTATACAATGAAGTTTTGGGCCTGACCATGGAAAAGGTCCCATGAATTCTCCACTCAGCTCCAGCTGAGCCCACTGCTCTCACAGTGGGTGAGGAAACGACAGGCAGTGCGACCACATGCACACTCACTGAGGAAGTGCAGCCTGTCTCACCCAATCTCTCTCACCCAGCCTAGGCAGAACACTGTTTCCTTAACTATCAGCAGCTATCTTGGAGATTTCCCCACAGGGCCAGGGCAACAGAATCTGGTACTCACTGTGACCATGGTCTGGAAGGACCATGAGGAATTCCCCAGTGCTGTCAGGGTTTCTGCTACTGTCACAGACAGTTTAGTAATAGCTTTGACACCTTTTGGTAATAGGACAAAGTTAACACTCCTGCCACTATCCTGTGAAGGACAAACTTCCAGCTCCATAGGAAACTTTGGAATGTCTTCTTTGGGTTGAGAAACTGGGGCAAAAGTAGAACCCAATTTTTCATGTCAATATCAAATGTAAACCATTTCAGGTGCACAGAGTTCCGCACTTCAGATTGGTCTTAAAGAAAAGAAACGCCAGGCGCGGTGGCTCAAGCCTGTAATCCCAGCACTTTGGGAGGCCGAGACGGGGTATATCACGAGGTCAGGAGATCGAGACCATCCTGGCTAACATGGTGAAACCCCGTCTCTACTAAAAATACAAAAAAACTAGCCGGGCGAGGTATCGGGCACCTGTAGTCCCAGCTACTCGGGAGGCTGAGGCAGGAGAATGGCGTAAACCCGGGAGGCCGAACTGGTGAGACAAGATCCGGCCACTGCACTCCAACCTGGGCGACAGAGCGAGACTCCGTCTACAAAAAAAAGAAAGAAAGAAAAGAAAATTATGGCGCGGTGGCTCATGCCTGTAATTCCAGCACTTTGGGAAGCCGAAGCAGGCAGATCACCTGAGGTCAGGAGTTCGAGACCAGCTCCACTCAACGTGGTGAAACCCCATCTCTACTAAAAATACAAAAAAAAAAAAAAAAAGTTAGCCAGACTTGTTGGCGGGCGCCTGTAATCCCACCTACTCAGGAGGATATGCACGAGAATCGGGCACCCAGGATGGAGGTTGCAGTGAGCTGAGATCACAGCACTGCACTCCAAACTGGGTGACAAAAGCGATACTCCGTCTCAAAACAAAAAGAAGAAAGAAAGGAAAGAAAGAGAAAGAGAAAAAAAGAGAGAAAGAAAGAAAGAGGAAGGAAGGAAGGAAGGAAGGAAGGAAGGAAGGAAGGAAGGAAGGAAGGAAGGAAGGAAGGAAGAGAAAGAAAGAAAAAGTAAGAAAATCAAGTATGAGCAATTCACATTCTCTTGAAAATTCCTCATTACATCCAGCCTGGTTCCAGGGAAACCCTGCCATGAAAACTGGTATTGCTTACTTAGACTTAGGTCCTTTGATCAGAGTTGATGATGTCCTCAGCTAAGTCAATGCTAGGAGTCGACAGAGATGAAGTGATGGATGTGACGGAATTACAGAATGTAAACGAATAAGATTTGGTATTTTAGGGCGGGGCGTGATGGCCTGCGCCCGTAATCTCAGCACTTTGTGAGGCCAAGGTGGGCCGATCACATGAGGTCAGGAGTTCAAGACCAGCCTGGCCAACACGGTGAAACCTCCTCTCTACTGAAATACAGTGCGCTGGCTGCAGGCACGTGTGGCTCATGCCTGTAATCCCAGCACTTTGGGAGGCTGAGGCGGGGGATCACGAGGTCAGGAGATGGAGACCATCCTGGCTAACACGGTAAAATCCCGTCTCTACTACAGATATAAAAAATTAGCCGGGCGTGGTGGCAGGTGCCTGTAGTCCCAGCTACTCAGGAGGCTGAGGCAGGAGAATGGCGTGAGCCCGGGAGGCAGAGCCTCTAGCGAGCCCAGATCGCACTG